CGAATATCATATCACTCTATTGCCTTGCGCGCCTCATTACAAATTTAGTCAACTCATAGGCGGCGGCACGAAATGTTGCATGGGGACGAGATCTGCTCGATAATTTCGTGCCAAAGACGCGACATTACAAGTGAGTCCAGAGGCATGCTCCCCCTTAAAACTTTTGAAATATAGACCTTCTGAAACGCTATTTCCTGCATTTGGAAGGTCACATTTTGCTGTCAAAAAGGGTCTCAGCTTGATTTTGGAGGGGCGCCGTCCCTGCAAATTCGGCGACAGAGAAAAAATGACAATTACTGTTATATAACAGCGATGGTAAATAAACTATCTTTTGTTATCCACTTTCTGTATTTACATATACACAGTCAAAACAAACAGCCAGTTAGCTCCCTAGATGTGAATAGCCACACCCCCATGACTCTGTCAACATCCATACTAAACAATAAATATACCAAAAAAGTTCCGGTTTTCAATCTTATAACAGTGAAATATGCATGTATGTATGCAGATTATGATCGCCATTGTTGGGCATGTTATATCCTCTTGGAATGCCCAAGACAGGTTTATTAGCAATGAGTTAAATAATCTGACTTTATTAAACACTGTGTCTAAGAAATCGAGTATTCCTTAACCACTGCAGGATATTTTTCAAACTTCATTATTATTCGATCTCGTAAATTCAAAACTTTACTTCTGACTTCATGTTTACCCTATCATCGTAGAAAATCTGAAATTGGCTGATAAACTATTTATATATGAGGGCAGTATTACTGAGCCGAGTCCACAAATCACCATGCCTTTATGAACCAAATCAACTCCTAATCTACAGTTCATCAGGGTTACTTAGCATGTGCGTTGACATAGCAGGTCCACCAGAAGCAGGAGTTGCGTGTCTTGTATCGCCACGAATTAGTCTGCATTAAAAACTCCGTAAAGATATATACCGAAGCCCATCACACAATATAGGTGAGTAAACTGGGGACATTATGAAGAATATAACTGTTGGTTAGTTTACAATTGATTTGGTTGTACGCCAGCTTTATTCGATATGACTTATTATAATCTACATACAATGCAATTAAGGGTGCAGATTATGTATTGCTTGTTGTTCGCACAACATGGTAACATCTAAAATATTATCACTGTGTTAACCCGTGAAAATGAAAATAATGTGGTTAAAGTTGATTAGAGGTCAACTTAACCTTCAAAAGGAGTTTAATATCGATGTCTAGACGGGGTATGACGTAAACTTTGCAAGATCATCACCGATCAAACTTAGAGGACGCTATGTTAATTTAAACGCCCAGCTATACTATAAACGCGCTTCCCATCAAGTCTTGTTGTAGTAAACAGCTCATGTCAAGCTCTGGTACAGCCATGTTTTCTTCAACTTACAGGTCGATTATGTCGTACAAAAGTGGTTGCACGTGACTATGAATATCACAGTAGTGTTTATATATTGTATTTATGACAAAGGTTTACGAGATTTTGATGAATAAAAATCAAAAACACGAAAACATGGCGGTTTATTTTGGTGTGTTTGGCTATCATAGAGATGAATGCCTGTACACTACTGGGTTTATATTTGTTGATGTCCTCGTCGCTATACAGGCACATGTATGTCAATTTCGTTCCATTATGTCAACACTTCCAAAGGTAGCTCCAATGTTTATTGTCCCAGTTTTGTGTCACGGTGTATGCACATAGTCCCAAGTATATAGTTAGTAGACACCCAGCAAATAACTCATCGAAAAAAGATTTTGTGGCTATAACCAGAAATCCATTGAAAAATAAAACTCGGCAACTTATCAACTGGGCTTATAGAATCAACTTATGATCCAATTGCAGAAGTATAAGTACGTAGCAAGCGATGAACTCAAATTGCCCATGATATACAATAGAAAATAATACGTTTATGTACTATTTGGGACCTGAGACTGGGGACACTGTACAGTGAATAGTTCGCTTATTATTTATCGTATCACTGTGGGCTGTGGCATCCTAGTTCAACAATACAAGCATGGCAAATGAATATGATATGTAACATGTTATGCCGTTACGGAATGCCTGTGTAGCTCAGGTCAATGCTCTAAGGAAGCAATCCTGATTGAACTACTATACACTTTTACGCCACACTCGGGATTAGTGTTATTAGCTTGTAAATAAACTACGAGGGTTTCAGTAAACGAAGCCAATAAAACTGGCAACTGAATTGGGCCTTTAAACTGTGAAAGATGGTGGCCAATCACCTCAATCATCACGCCTTCCTAAACCAACACAACCCCTGAGCAACAGTTCATCAGTTCATATACATGCGCTGACATAGCACGTCGACGTCAATTGTTATTTACCCCATTGCGGCGTTTAACAAGAATTTCTCATCACGAATTAGTCTACATTTCAGGGCTCATACCACTAATTGAATTTCCATAGACGACAATGTTAACATATGACGAGATTGCTATATGAAAATGACGAAGAAAGTTGAAAATATGGATCAAAAATGGGAAATCAACATGCCAGTAATCAACCATATGAAAAAAACTAACATGTTGGCCAGCTCAAACTCTTGCAAATCTCAGGTAAACAAGACACACCTACTGTATTTGGATTGCACCAAGAGAAATCACTGGAAAAACACCAAGATTAGAACATCCATTAACACACAGAATAAACCCGCAGGTACACAGCCGCTAAGTAGTAAACAAAAGACCACATGTTGGTCTCACCTCTGACCCAGGTGATTACGCCCTCAAACAGGGAGCACCTGAGAAAAATAATATTTAAAACATTTCATTGGTTCTTGCTAGGCATTTAAATTGAGCAGCCATTGGTTAATTAGTGGCATGAGACCTTAACAGTCCTTGCAGATTAAAACCAAAGTGTAGCACACACTATAGGTGAGTACAGAGTGAACTGAAGACATTACGAACTGTAGTTGACGACATATGAAGCTAATTTGGCCGAGGTCATCGAGGTCAAACTTAGGAGACATGACGTCAAACTGTGAAAGATACTTGGCGAACTTTGAAATTTTAAATGCTAAATTAATGTTATTATTAACATATTACTGTCTATTTTCGCTCAGTCAAAAACTTCTTTTGCTCTTTACCAGCCAGTATCTATTCACAGTCAGCTGGCGTACAAGTGATAACAACATAAAAAGAGAACTGGTGATGGTGTGGAACCATAACTGCCTCAGCAAAAAGACTGTTGTATAATGGAAGGGAATGTAAAGGGGAAAGTGTTTTAGTGTTACCTGCCTGTAATTAACGTTATATCTGCATTAACCTTCACTGTGAAGGTCAGTGTGAGTGTTCTCTTAAATGTCTGGTAGAAGAAGGGCTGGGTAGATTTTGCAAAATAGTAGTTAGTTAGAATTGTGTGTGGGGGAGCTGTCATTTACACAATCATAATAACTGGACATGGTTTCAGAACGGAAAGCTGTAAATAATTATGAACAATAAAAAACGGAAATTTAGAAACTATGAACAATAAACAATGAAACAGGGAAACTAAACCAAATATTGTAACATGGTCTGCAACAGGAGGTTTAAAAATGCATTCTGTTTACCGGAGTATGCTCAATGACGAATCTTTACTTTTGAAAACTTTCAAAAACTACAAGTGCTGTATATACCTGAATGAAATGTCTGGAATCTCAGCCAATACTTCTAGTGACCAATCATTAATGTGCGGGGTAATTACTCTAGCCAATGATATTTAACTTTGCTCTTGAATAAATCAGTGGTTTCCCACTTCAAATAATACCCTGGAGAAGTATGTTCATTGTTTCATAAGAACGACTGTCCCAAAGGATTTTTGTCTTCTCAATTTCTCAAGATAAACCTCCCAAGGTTGTTTTGTTTACTACAGGGAAATGCCTTTAGACAGCATTTCTTGTATTAATTTCCATTTCACAAAAAAGCTGCAAATACTGAAGCGCAGAATTTGCATGTATTTTTTTCCCGGCCATTCACGGAAACTGCAAATCATGGCTAATACCGCATCCATAGTTGTTGACACTTTGCAGCCGCCATGATGGATGTATTGTGACGTATTTGCCCCCGGATTCTGACCTTGCATTCTGGTTACATTTACAGCGCTGTCATACCAGTTCAATTTCTTTTCATTATTTCATTCAGATTTCATGATATTTAATATTTAAAACCAACATTGATTTCACAGTCACTCTAGTTTTCACTTTTCAAACATTGTTACCGATCAAACAAAAGACTTATCACTACCATCATGCAATCCCTCATAGTACTTCCGCAGACACAGCGACGATCACTAACATAAATACAAAAAACACTCACTCTCAGGAGCTGAGGAATGGTGTTTACTGTATGGGGCAGCCATTTATGTGTTTTATCGATCATTATGTATAACGTTTGACCGTTTATACAATAATGTATGTTTGTGTTTATTCATATCACATTTATTGACAGTATATTTCTTAGAATCTTTATTTCATACCCATTTGTTTTCTCTGTATTTTATTGTTTGCACGTAATCATATGGGAAACTAGCACACTCAGCATTGATTTGGCTGATATTATTTTCGATTAGAATGAGAGAATGAGAATGCCTTCCGACTTAAAAATTGTTAATCCATGGGATATTTGGAAACGTTGTATGTTTTTGAGTTCCCATCTGTATATATGCTATTGAAGAATAAACGAGGTTTTCACAACGTGTCCGGTTCAGTCTCACTGTTGAGAAGATCGAACCAGCCTTTCCCCCGCAATCTTGAAAACGGTTTGAAACTATTAGTAAATAAAGAGACAGGTCGAAAAACAAATACCACTATAAAAAACGGCCGAATTCGTCTTTTTTGTGTAGAAAATCCTCTGCATACATATTACACGAGGATAGTAGAACACTTTCCCAGAGTATTTGAAACCGAAATCGTTATGTAACTGTATGGCTGTCGCTGATTGGTTCCTGAGTTGACCTATTTGGCTAATTCTTTTGGTTTTATGCAGGTTTTGGCCGAGATGGATTCCAAGCGTAACTCTGATATCAGATATGAAGTGATGAAGGAATGTCACATCAATGAAGCTGCACACATACTGACGGCTGCATTTCTTCATGGTGAACCATTGTTTCAAGTAGTGTCCCAGCCATACGAAGCTGAATTATCATCAAATATCAGTCTATGCACACACTGTGTAAAAGAGGGTGTGTCGATGGTTGCTATTGATAACGCCACTGGAGAGGTAGTTGGTGCCGCAACTGGAATTCTTTGCCATGGCAACAAAATTGAAGACGGGCACACAGATCACCCAATGGTCACGCCAGAATCAACTTCCTTTCTATCAATTATCATTCCTTTTCTGGAAGAATTGGAAAAGGTTTTCTACAAATATCCTGATTTCACTAACAACCGTGACTGCATGGTATTAAGTAGTAGCAAGATAGGGGTACACAAAGACTATGGAGGCATGGGTATTGGCACCAAATTGGCACGCATGCGTGGTGAATTGGGCAGGGGAAAGGGGGTGAAGTTTATTGTGGTAGCATGTACAGGGCCATTAAGTCAAAAGTTGTATTCAAGATTAGGTTATGAGTGTATTGGTGAAATTGTATATAAAGACTATACAACCAAAGGAGAAAGACCATTCGCTAAAATCACAGTGTGCCCAGCAGCCAAACTATTTGTAAAAAAGTATTGAGAACAGTCGTTAATAAGTCATGTAAAGTATATTCGCAATTGTATGGTTTATACACTTATCACCGAGTTAAACAAATAAAAGAAATCAGCTAATGATAAAATGATAAAGTAAATTTATACAATATGCAAGGTTGGCACTGATTGGACGATAAGCTGATGAAAATTTTCATTATTAGCAACCAAAAAAATGTATTGGCAACAGCAATCAAAACAACAACATGGACAGAATTCTTTCATATACAATCCCGTCCATTCCTTTTCATTCAAAGTAAGGCAAAACTGTTTTTGTTTTTTTTTGAACGACGACTGGCCGAGTAGTTTAATATTGTCAAATGTGTCAAAAGTAATTTAATAACATATTAAGCTAAAATGTGTAGTACTAGTAATCCCTACTGAGTTCATGTGGTTTAGGGTGGCGTTAAAATTTGAAAGTACTCGAAGCTTCAAACCAATGCTCGCAAACTGTTCTTCCTCGAACTATTTTCACATTCCTCAACATTCTGCGTTATTTGAACAAAATGAGTATGAGTTGATAGAATTAATACGTAAAGTACATTTATTATTAAGAGGTGATAAATTTTATCAGTTCACTGTGTATTGGGGTGTTGACAAGAGTAAAATAAGATATCATTTTATGTTGCTTTAAAGGCCAAAAAATATAGCCATGCTCAATTCAACATTGTACTTCATTGGACGATGACATTGAGAAATTGACATTAAGGATATTGGATTTATTGGTGATTAAAATTTTAGTGTGAACGGCAACTTTATTTTTGTATATTTAAAAACGAGGCTTCTCATTAGCTTCTCATTTGCATACAGTATTACCCGTGATGACGTATGTACTTACTGGGCTGCTTGCATTGTCGATACGGGTATATAAGGCACATTTCTTATACAATTTCCTCGTCTTTAACTAAATTGCCACTTATTTACTTGTTCAACGAGGAAGAATATATCATAATTAACACATAATATTGAGTTAGATGTGAAATATGTCCTTTCTGACGTAGCTGGTCACCGTCATAATTATGACATCATACAAAAGGGTTTAAAAATTACTTGGACACAACACATGGACGGCTCGAGCCCGGATTCTTATTCCATACATTATTACGCAGGTCAAGCTGCAAGTTAAGATCGCAGAGATCTGAAGTCGTCACTCAGTACCAATCACCAAACAAAATTGAAAACAATTAGCAGTATGTAAATGCTGCCAATTTCCTGTTCGTCCGACGCCTCGGTTTTCGCGTCACTATTAAAATTATTGCGACCTCTTACAAGCCATATTCAGGATCGCAAAAATGTCAAACCATTTGAAACGCTTACTCGACATCTCTGCCTCTTCTGAAATCCGTCCGGAATCTTGTTCCTTAAAAGGTGTTGGTATTGTGCCAGATATACATTTTCGGCGCTTTTCGTCGAAACCTAGTTGTGCTTTTGTTCAACAAAAGAATCGTAGGTAAAAATAACGCTGCATATGACGGTGTAAGAAGAAGGTCCACCCCAACGCTTTCTGGTTGATTTCACGGCTTTCGTCCACTGATGCCGCACCTTCGAATCGATTAGAAATACTTACACTGTGGCTATACGTATTACTGCACCCGCCCACAACACAACGTTTAACCATCTTAATGTTTGTAGTGAAAATAACTTCTAAAAACTCTTCTGTCATGTATATGTTGAATAACGCAGTGTTATAACAGTATGGCCCGCGCCGGTCGAACTTCATCAGGGGAGGGCGCAACTCATGCGACCTCGTCAGGTCGAGAGGTCTCAGAGTATGGCTTCCTCACATATTTTGGCATTTGGTGGCGCACTTTAACTTTGGCGAGAGTCGGATTTCAAAAAACATTCTGTTGTGATGTTCGTTCTATCATTACGTGGGATGGGCGTGGCTACAGTATGGCAAGTCAAGTGTTGCAATATTATTAAAAACAAATTTGTTTTTTAAAATCCATATTTTATTCCATAAAACGCGATTTACATTTGTAAAATCCATATTTCATTCCATAAAAAGCAATTTATGCGTGTGTGGGAGTGGGTGTATTTCTGTTCGAAGAATTCCTATTTGATTATTCAGACGCCATTTTGTGTCACTAAATTTACTTTTGATACACTGAATTGTGTTTAGGATAAATATATGTTTCATTTCTGAACCAAAATTATTTGCATAATTCTGTGTTTTTTTGTTTGTTTTTTCGTGCGACAATAACATAACGTCATTTTTAATTTTCCCGATACCACCATGGACATGCGTTCATGATACCACAGACAACTCAATTTGAACTCAGTAAAACATTTAAACCTAATTAGGGAAATTCGTTCGCCATGCTAGGCACTCCAAATAAATTTATTTGCGCTGAAGTACGTACAGGTCTTCACTATCTCAAAAACACGGTTTTCACCCTTGCTTACTAAAAGTAAAAGTCACGGTAGCTATCGTTGCAGTCAATAGTCTCTCGCCTCTTGGTTATTATTAATGTTGGTTCCAGGGCGCCTCTAAAAAATAAGCTACATTGTATATATTGGGCTGAATCAATGAAATATCACCCAAAAAGTGGATGATTTTTTACCACGACCTTTTCTGCTCGGAAAGCCATTCACACCTCTAATAAATAACCTAGGCTGAATCACCAAATAAATATGGAAGATTGGGCGAACAAAATGGACTTCCTATTCAGCACGTCTTTGATTGTATTAACAATGTTCATGTTGATGTATGTAAAGACACAAGTAGTTTCAGTTACATTATAGGGACGACCATGAGGGCGCTGTTCATACTCGGGTGAGATGACGTCATACGGGGATGGATGACG